AGCTACTTGAATTGAAAAGTAGCGGCTCCGGTCTAGAAAGCCGAAATTAACGGCCATGGGGATCCATTGCGCGGACCACGCGACACCCTCTATCCGCTAAAGTTGGCACTAACTTCGCCGACAAGCGGCGGTCGCTCGGTCGGTATTGTTCGCTTGCGGACTATAGGCCACGGAGTTTGTTTTGTTTCTTTGCTCTACTGGCGCTTGTGCCAGAGTCTATCACACGTATCAATAAATATAACGTAAGTTATGAATCTCCTCATTATGTAATTGTCTCCAAAATCCTGTCACCTCATCTCTCTCCTGTCCAAATATTCTCCTCAGGGCGATGTCCTCAAATACCTTCAGTCGATGCACTTCCCTTAATGTCAGAGACGAAGTCTCACACCCATACAAAAATATGGGCAACACTATAGTTTCTTATGATTTAATCTTTACGTTTCTTGACAACGGACGAGAAGACAAATTCTGAACTAAATGATAGTAAGCATTAGCCGAATATAATCTGCCCTTAATTTCCTCAAGAATCAAATTTTTATTTGTTACTGTCGTCCCCAAATATTTTAAATTTGCCGCATATTCAAAGGGTCTCGTATAAGTGACATGTAGTTTAAAATGCCTTATAACGTCAGCATACAGCGATTTTTGGCGCCGCGGGTAGTAGCATCGTTTTTCCACTAAAGCCTCAGAATAGGCCACCTGTCATTAAGATAAAGAAAAGGAAAGTGAACAACAAATGGCAACAGCAGTGCGGCATGTTCTTAGAACTTAACAAGGTTGCCAAATGAAACGTGTATCCACTTTTTCCGTCTCCATATGCTAATCTAATTCATGATAGACGAATCTTGAAGAAATTTTGTAATCACAGTCTTTAATGAAATATGTGTTCCTAACGGAATCTTTCTCTTTTATTAATTTATGTAAGCTATCCACATACCGAGACACAAAAAGTTTAATTAATAATGTGACTAGCTACTGGCTCGACAATTCGGGTTCGTTTCCTGAAGGAATTTCTTTTCTTCCCGCATAACTTCTAAACTTGTTGACATCCACCCAGCCCCTATTGGGTCAGTATCAATGACTCTTCCCTCGAAGTTAGAGCGGAGTGGAGGTGAAGCTAACTGCTCACAACCATCTAGCGCCGAAGTTAAAATGGCTGGATTCTTACCTCTTCTTCCTCTATAACTGCACGCTCTCTTTGCTTGGTGGACAGTGACAACTTTGCCATTACCATAGGTTTCACGTGAGGTCCAAGTGCGTTTTTACACAACACACATAAAGCAACACCAAACATACAACACACACAACACCACTCATACAAAACACAAAACATACATACAAAGCACACAACACACATAACATACACGAACCAGACAACACGACATACACATCGCACACGCACAACATACATCACACACACAAAACGCAGCACACACAACACACAGAACACACACACTCCTCTTTGAATCAATATCGAGGGCATCTGACTTCGTTCAGTAAGTGTTCGACTCGTATCTTAGCCAAGGTACCTGATAACTAGGCTGAGGTCCTTCTTGGTTTTCTTAATTTCTCCTTGCATCTGAGTAATTCGACAGATTTTCCGGACAGGAGTAAAGATGTAAAGTTTAAGAGTTCTTTCTAGTTGGATAGAACGCCGTGTGGTCAGTTGGAAGTCAACGAAAATTTTATGATGAAAATATCGCTTCATCTTCAGTGTAGTAGATTAAGCCAAGCAAGAAACCAGCATAACATAGGTAGCAAGCGGAGCTCTTCTTGATTTCCTTTTTGACCCTAAAGATTTCGGCATTAGTCAGGGTACCCAAGCGTTCTAAGGCATGCACTGTCTTCGCTCGCTCGGGAGCCGGGATCGTGAGTTCGGATCTGTTTCCTGTGAGGTACGAAATGAATTCTTATATATTATTCTTATACACTGCCGGTCACGGTAGCAGAGCGGTCTAAGGCATGTACTGTCTTCGCTCGCTCGGAAGCCGGGATCGTGGGTTCGAATTGCACACAAGGCATGGATGTTTTGTATGTGTATATGCTTATTCTGTGTTTACGTTGTCCTGTGCTTAGGTAGAAGCCTTGCGACGAACTGCTCACTCGTCCAGGCAGTCCTACCGTCTGTAAAATGATCACAATGAAGAAACAAGTTCGACGCCGTAAAGGTATAAGAAGAACGAATTAAGTAAGTAATTAAGATTCAGACAACATTTTGCTCCGAAACGTCTGTTGATTTTCAGCGGACTGCATGGTGATATATCGCAAACGATAGCATTTTCCATTTAAAATATAGTCATTTTTAAGAGAACTCATGACAAAAGAAAAATAGATGCAGTGTATTTCGCTTTCAAAGCCACGTGCAAGATGCGAATTGAAAAGCTATGTACGAGTATAGCAGGAAGTGCGTCATGCAGTCCACCACGCGGTTCTAAAGAGACGAAGAAAAATTACATAATTTCTTATTGGTGGCGGAACAGTTGGTGTAGCGTTAACGCTCTGGAATCGTAGTCGGCAAGTTTTCGATTCGAATCTCTGCTAGGACAGTGGCTGTCCTAACTGAGCAGTTTCGTTGTTTTCCCAGTCTGCCATGTAAATTTCTGGATTCAGATAGACCACAACCGTTTCCTTCCATGTCATTTTCAATTCATTGTTCATCTGTCTTCCTACCATTCGATACTACATAGTCTTCCATACTAAAAAGGTTGTAAATTAACTTAACACTTTATCAGCAAGTAACATTTGATGTAAAGCTGGAACCAGCGAAATGGTAAGCTGTCCATTCCTCAAGTATATATCTTCGTACAGGTAAACGTACATGCAACCATCTGCTGAGTCTTTTAAGTAATATCGTGTTCCAAGATACAAATGCTACTGTTTCAAATGTAATAGCAATGTGCTATGCAAACCTGGAACACTAGTTATTAATAGCTTTGTCCGAATATGTTACTCCGTACGAGGCAGGCAACTCATCATACACCTAAGTTATGTGGGTTGACTAAGTTTCTGTAACTTCGTATCGTATTACATATGTGTGCCTGAGGCGAAATCACTACCTTCACTGAAGAACATATACACCTACGAATAGCAGCGACAACTTGAGCGTTTCCGTATGTCAAATTTTGCAAAGTCATTCTAAAAGGAAATATCTTCTCATTCTGGCTTATTCTGAGCGTGAAACATTGATATCTCTTAATATATGGTTTAGTCGATGGTTTCCCAGAGCCGCCGCTCGGGTTCGATCACGGGTCTGGTCATATGGTATTTGTGGTGAACAAAGTGGCGCTGGAACAGATTTTCTCCGTGTACTTCGGTTTCCCCTGCCAATCTTCATTTCACCAATTGCTCCACAATCACCCTCACCTATCATCTGGGACCGGTACCATAGGCCAGTAGTGGCCGCAGTACAAAGGACATAGTCCCATCCCACTGAGAATAATAATAAAAAATAAAATATTGGTTCATCTTTTGTAAATTTCTTGGCTTTGCCATGAAAATCTAATTCACTGAGAATACACACATTAATGTCACTGCACACCATATATGGGCATCGTCAGCATTTTGTTCTAAGGAAGAGCGAAGATAAAATCATGGCTACAGAAAACTTTGCTGCTCGACTGCTTTTACTGATCGGTGTAGAGTATTCAGTATAGATGAATATTTCTGCAAAATACTTTTAATGTTTGATATGTTTCCTTCTGCTTTCAATTTCCTTTTTCAAAAATCTAGGGCTGAAAGGTGCCCGGCATTCCACACCACATGTGTATAATTGTTTGCTATATTGTGAGAGATTAGGATGGTGAATATTAATTTCCCTAAATAATTATTTTGCGATATTGTAAAATAGAAAATAGAAACACCGAAATTGTTAATAGCGACTTGTTTATAAAACATGCATCGCACAATTAGTGCATCTTTGGTTAGACTTGAAATGATCTTTCTCATGCAAATATTTTTGGATATTCATATATTTACACAGAATTGAACAATCACACAATAAAATATTTAAATGAGTACATTCAAAGACATGCAGTTAGTTATACGGAAATTCTTAAATTGTTATGAGAGATGAAACGGTTAAATATTTAAAATTATCGAATTAATTCTCATATTAATAGCTCAGACCATTGTATACATTGTAACATTGGTGATAGAGTCTTTTTGTCACCCACTGATAAGTCCCTGAACTTAAAATATGGCGGTACCAGAACCCTGCAATTTTTCTTCTTCAGTTTTAGAGCATTGATGCTTATTTCATCTTAGTAAAAATTTTGTGAATAAATATAAAATCTCTTTATATCTGGACTTGCTAAGTTAACAGTATATAACATATATACAATTATGGGGTTAAGACATTAACCTTCTTTCTAAAAGTTACTGCAAAAATATGAAATTTTGATTTGCAGAACCTCTAAGGGAACAAGTCCCCTTGTCAGTGTTATAAATTAATTTTAAAAAACATAGCTCAAAACATAATCCTACCTTTATATTATTTAAGAGAAAAGAAAATATTAAGAATACAAAACCAAGCCAATGTCTCTTGATTGTCTCTGCCTACTTTAATTTATACGAAAGAACATTCACTTCATACGTTCCAAACATTTCTACAGCTGCATTAGTTTGAATACATCTTTCCGGTAACTAAATTAGCATAATAAAGTGGATATGGATATAAAGTTACGCCAAACGTTCTTAATTTCATAACAGCTTCTATTTATTTAATTAATATTTCTAGTCGCATCTCTCTTGGAACTGTTTCAAATTTAACATTAAATCTAATCGCTTATGAGGTTTTGGTTTTTTTGTGTGTGTAATTTTATGTATTTATCCACATGACGGTAATTTAGTTGCCAGAACATATCCTGGGACTATGTTAAATGAAGCTTGTATGATAATTTACAGGCTTACGCAAGCAGGGCGGAATATTGTCAAATCATTACAGAAAAGTTTAGAAGCAATATACAGCAAAGATATTTTTATTCTTGTTTATGGGTACTTACCATGAGTTCCTTTAGTTGAGTCACCAAAGGAGAAGTTGAGAAAAAGTTTCCAACAACCGAAAAGATTTTCCCTTCCAACTTGGTGATTCTTTTGAAGAAAAATAAATATAATTTTGCCCCGTTGTGTCGATTATACCATTGAACGATATAACCGTTGATCTATTTATAATTTTGAATTTATGTATATCTAGAAACTATTTAATCTTTACAATAGGAGAATACGATATTGTACGGTTTTGAATTGTTTTACACGTTAAATGTACATTTAACTGGAATGTTGTGTGGTAACAATGGCTGAGAGAGATAACCTACCGCTGGTGCGCACAGAGAGAAACTGCCTCTCAGTTCACAGCGACATCCAGAGCCGCGATGCGTCCGCCCTCACATGACCGGGACCGCTACTACCACCCACATCACTCCCGCATACCCCCCGTATCAGCGATTATCAGTATGTACCTCATACTTTCCGGTAGTTCGGTCGTAGCTTATTGCTAATCTATGGATAATACTATGTCCCGAATTTTGCGTAAGAAAGAGTAAAGCGGCGGGTCCGTGAAGCTGACCATCATCTTCATCTAGCGCCGAGTTCAAGAATGGTGGAGCTATACCTCCACTCCCACATATGTCTTCATTGCATAATGCTTAATTATTTATGCACAGGAGCATCTTTACTTTTTTGAAGCGTAAAAAGCTGGTAGCATTCCTTTGGTTAATTAAGTACCATTCTACGAAGACTTATAGTGGCGTGGAGGTTTAGTTCCACCGTAGTATTACTTGATTTTTGGACTTTGTCCATCGTATTCTAAAATCTAGGGAACACAACGTTTCGGGAACTGGATCTGTTTCCTTCTTCAGGTGATTGGGAGACACCTACTCAGTTGGGCCCCTTAGAAAGAGCTGCATAACTACAGCTATATAAATACGGCTTTGTGGAAGGGATATGACAGGAAAATATGCAATGAACATTGAGATAAAGCATGTACGGACCTGAAACTAAGATAGAAACGGAGAGGCCGCGCCATAGCTCAAGCGGTTTGTCCCTGGTTTCCCACCGCGGCGGCCAGGGCTCCATCCCGGGTCTGGTCAAGTGGGATTTGTGGTGGACAAAATGGCGCTGGGGCGGGTTTTCTCCGAGTACTTCGGTTTCCCCTGCCAACCTTCATTGCAATTTGTATGTAAGCACGACAGTTTATAATATCCTGAAACCAAAATGAAGAAAACATACAGAATATGGGGCTGAAGTTAATTATGTACCGGTATTTGACAATTATAACAAATCTTTAAACTGATATCAATATATATATATATATATCGTCGATACTGATATTTGACTCCGTATCGATATATATTGACACTTTATTTCAAGTCCTTACCTAATCGCCATTCATGACCATAAGTGATCTCATTCAGTGCTACGTAAAATCTTAAATTGATACAGCATAGTTAAATAATCTAGGAGGCAGTCAATCCTCGCGATAAATAAGTATCAAAATTGTCCATATCTGATATACGGGCTGGACTACCGAGGAATCGGGCTTGATTCCTGGCAGGGGCAAGATTTTTCTATTCTCCATAGCGTTCGCACGGGCTCTGGGGCCCACCCAGCCTCCTGCTCAATGGGTACTGGGGAAAGTTTACACGGGGAAAGGTGGCCGGGACGTGAAGCTGACCACTCACCTCTATCTAGTGCCGAGTTTAATAATGGTGGAGCTATACCTCCATTCCCCTATGTGTCTTCATGAAGTGCTTAATTAAATAAGTCCAAGGATAACTTTATTTACTTTACTGAGCAAGGAGGCTAAGCAGTAACACGTTAATATTCTGGAAGTGTATGGTTTAAGCCTCAGCATTGGACCGTTTATCCTGGCGGAAGACTTCATTTCTCAGTTATCCAATTACATGATAGAATAGTACACTGAAATATACCATGCTCGTTTCCTTCCACATCACCCAGAATTTATCACTCACTGATAATCCCCCTGTATTTGGCTCTCCAGGTGTTCATATATCATTGTCTGATCACAAATCGAGTAGGAAGCAAACACGAGAAGTCTACACGATCGTCCTTCGGGTCGCAATATGAACTGGTTCAGCGAGAGTCGTCTGAAACTGAAGTTATCTTCAGTATACTCCAGGAAAAACATGTTAAGGCCGAATTCGTTACAACGAAATCAGATATTGAAATTCTCACCCCCAAAACATAGTTTATACTATTTAAACACGCAGTTTTATTAAATAAATATCATAAGAATATCCTGATCCCTGTGTGGAGGCGTGTTAGAATACCTTAGCCCTGCTAGTCGTAGAAGACGAAAAGTGGACCCGGTGCCTAGGGATAAAACTGGGCAACCCTGTCATGAATACAGGGACCTGGTCCTCCAGATTGGGTGGGTTGCAAGCAAGGCTGACAACCTTGCTCTCTAGGAAAAGTTATTGTCGCAGAATCCAAAAAACGAAATGCGGTTGGTGTAATCAAGACAAATCTGGCAGAATTTTCTATAGACGGCTGTGAAAAAGGGATGTTTTGCCGGGGGTGATGGTGATGATGATGATGAACATACAGAAACATGAATAATAGTGGAAACATCGAAATAATGAACAAATAGAGCGTGGAAATGTGCATAAATAACAAAATAAAAATTGAGAGATCATGGAAGTGCTGGCTCGAGATATTGATAGCTCCAATCTTGGTATTTTTCTAAAGACACTGAAGAAATGTCAAACTCTTAAAAGCAAGGCGCCTGAGCTCCAAATTATCATAAAATGATGTCGCTGATTGGATGAGGTCTGTTGAGTCCACTAACTAACGCTCCAAGTGAGCGAAATTTGCGGCTGCCCTTAATAGAAGCAATGGTACCCTATGAGAGACGGATCATTAATCGATGGCATCATAAACCGAGGGACAACACCGTGATTACGCTCATGACCCACAGAAGCCAGTGATAAACCACAATAACTATGAGTATAAGACTGTTGTAACGACAGTGGAATTATGCAACATACGTATATCCAGTTTTAAGTGTTAAAAATCATACTCGTGCCTATAGCGTAGAATTAGGAAACTACGAGTAAACATGGAAACTTCTAGATGTTCAATTCAGTCATATCTTTCAGCGTGCTAACTCAACAGCCGCACGATACAATTACAGATTTAGGATAATCAGACAGATAATATGAAGTTCTGGAAATGAGTAATCGTCTGCTTTCATTTCATAAATACTCAGTGTTTGACTCAAGGACCTTACAGAAAACATTTCTTCTAACAGTTCTTATATTGTTGCATGTATATTCGTTGTAATGGGAACTTGTTTACCGATCCGTTGCCTAGTAACGCCCGTCTTCTCTCGTCACTATTCAGACTCTAAGGTGTCTTGTCCCGGGTAGCCTACAGGCGAGTCGCAGGTTCGAAACATTATCCTAAGACTCCCAGAGCTGTCAGAGAATAAAATGTTGTCATAGGTCATGTGGGACTCGGAACCAAGAATCACTGTGCTGGCGAGGACCAGCAGTAGTTTAACAGCCAGTCAGTCGCCTATAGATGTGTCGCTGCTCTCCAACAAGCTCCCTCCTTAGGGCTGCTCGTCTGGAGCAGGCATTCAAAAGTTGTTGATGGGGGGAGGGGACACAGACGCAAACAACAAGACTATGTCGTAGACCTTGTTTTATTTTTAGCCCATTTTTCTTATTTTGAAATTAACAAAGGTCCCAGCAACGATAAGGGGGATAAACATACAGCAGTTGGAGCTCATGAGCCTCCTTTTATTTAAAAAAAGAAACGGAAATAGGCTAAAAATTGAATGAAACAATACAGAGATGTAGGAGAAATGCATACATAGAGGTCATTCTACTGTACAATAGATGCAAGACAAGCATACTTTCTAACAACACCGAAACCGAATTAACCAGAAGACTGATGTAATATAAACGATTATCAAACGTATCGACGTTACTACAAGTTTCATTTCCATAGACCTGCTTTTATACACGAAATATCGTTATGTATTTGAAACATATACGAATATATACAAGTATAAAATGAATATAACTTGCAGAAATAAAACTTTGAATAGCTGGATATAAAAAAGTAAGTAAAGCTATCCCTGTAACAGGCCGTGAAGGCCCATAGGGTTGTGAGACGTTAAGGGTCCCATATTACCTTGACAATCAGCTCAAAGATGGCGGTAAGGTTGTCAACCTTACGCGCCGGCCGCGCTTTACTCCCCAGGAAAATTATTTAATTAATTCCTGGTACTTATTTCTGTTAGAGGCTGAGTAAACCCCAGGGCCTAGTGCGGCCGGAAGGATTAGGTCAATTGAAAAAAAATTAACAGCTGGATATATTGGATAAAAAAGCAAATAAATCTTTAACCCTTCAAAGCCCAGTGATTATTATATGTACCACCCAATTTAACATGTTGAAACTCTGAATTCTGCCCACAGAGTGTGTTTATGTGTCTCATAAGGTTCTCACAATAAAAGGCGGGTTTTCCCCTAAACAGTATCATATAATTAATCTTTGTAGCAGAGACATAATATGTTCCCCGAGAAGTATGCACCGAATGTTTATTATTTAGAAGAAATTAAATCTTTTAAGGTTTAAATAATTGAGAAACTTAAGATGAATGGCCGCGCCATAGCTCAAGCGGTTAGTCGCTGGCTTCCCACCGCTTCGGCTCGGGTTCGAGCTCGGGTCTGGTCAAGCGGGATTTATGGTGGACAAAGTGGCGCTGGGGCAGGTTTTCTCTGAGTACTTCGGTTTCCCCTGCCAATCTTCATTCCACAAAATTCTCCGTCATCGTAATCACCCGGAGCAGGACAATACGCCAATCAGTGGCCGACGTGCCGAGTGGACCCAGCTGGACTGCACCCCCCACTATGCGAATTAAAAAACTTATGAATGATTACATGCTTGAAGTGATCGTTATATACAGGAAGAACTGCGAAAGACTTCTCAGTGTAATGGGACTATATGCCTAGAGGACCAAGGAATGAATATTTTGAGATATTAATTCTCCAATCCGTGAGGATAAAAATGATTGATAGGCACATTAGTATAATTATTAGATTCGGCTTACCTTTCAGAGAGACACGAAAACATTTTATCAGTAAATATGGGCGCTCAAAGTTCTTGTCGGAAAGTCTGTAATCTGTAATCACGTAAGCAAGACTGTGGGCTATTTCCCGATTCTATCATTGTGTTTATCCTTTCTCATTCTCAAAAGGACCGACAGTTACTCAATGGCGTACAGGCCGTGTTTTTTTACCTGACCTCTGGATTGAGGTAAAAAAAAGGCCTTTGAGGTCCATAGATTTTTGAGACGTCGGGGCTCCCACATTTTCTAGA